GAATGACTTATTGTATTGAATGACTTATTCAATCTCAACCCTTCAGTCATCTCCTGAAGGGTTGAGAACAGCTGCAGGGTTTTCACTATTTCCACAGATCAGTTTAATTATCAGTTCACTGAAAAAATTTCTTGCATAGCAGGAAAATCAGCCTAATTTTTCTGATGCAATTACACAAATACAGATCCAATTATTTTTTAGGCAGCATTTAATGTGTGTACAAAGCATAAATCAAGCCAAATGAAATAATTTAATTTAATTTACAGAAAAATGACTTGAATTGACTAAACGTCTGCAATAAAGAAGTCATTCTAAGCCTCAGAGTTAAACAGGGTTACAATCACAGTACTGTGGTTAGTTTTCACTAATGCGTGGTGCAGTGGTGTGCAACAGGTCAAGATAAGTGGCGTAATAGAGTCCTGTTTTTTTTTGCAAACACCAGCTTATTTGTCTGCAAGTATAAAAGGTCTTTTGATTTTTTTAAGTCAAATTTGTGTGCTTTTTATTTTTTATTTTTTCCACTCAGGAAGATCACAAAGATCCCGTCAGCAGAAAATATACAGTCCTGGCTAGAGGTAATGTAAACCGAGTTAAATGAAACTTGCAGTTTTAAAATAAAAGATCTATTCAAGTACCATTAAAATAAAAACTAAGAAGAATACTGTCCTGTTGTTGACAGCTGAACAAAGGGGTTATATGATGTGGAATAAAAACAAATAAAACAACCACATACTTCCAGCTTCCTGCAGGACTTTTTATGACAGAGTTAGCGTTTTATAGTTTTCTATGGTTTTTAATGAAGAACCTGCAGCAATTTGGTCATTTCTAATATTCCACTCATGTTTTAAACATCTCAAAGTTTTAAGGTTAATCAAATCTTTCATGCAGTTTTAGTTAGTCCAGTCTAGCCTTTTTAAAGTCTGACATTAAGCAGAACAGAGAGTAGTTGCTTTTGATTTTTGTTTTATTTTGTCAAACTAAAATATTGTAGATCATTAGAAAAAAAATATATTTGACAAAGATAAAGTTAACAGAATTGTATTTTTAAACACATTAAATGATTGCTCAAATCAAAACTATGCAAACCAAAGTGGCCCTCTGATGTAAACATTTATTTGATAATGTGAAACATTTAAACGTAACAAAAAAGCAAAAAGAGGATCAATTCATAAGGGAACAAATATGTATTCACAGCAACAGACTGAAGTTTCTCTAGAAGTCAAGACCTCCAGGATGTTCCATCTCCTCTCTCTCCTTAGGGTCAGTTACAATCTGTCAAGTCTTGTGGAGTCCCCATGTTTTAACTAGAACCCCGCCCCACCAGACGCCTCTACAACCTGGCTGTCTGACTGCAAGCATATCAAAGAGGCTTTTCAGAGTCCTCAGGGCACACTCAGGAGAGAAAATTGTGATTTAATAGCCCGGGGTCCCACTAAGAGTCTAGTGAATTGGATTTAGATTTTATCCTGAACACAGACCAAAAAAATTCACATCACCACAGCCCAAAACCCACAGCGGCACCACATACCCAGAAATGCAGTCCTGCATATTAATTACACCATAAAACAAACTCCAAGCAGTGTATTACGTCACATCACCATCCCAAGCCATTTAAATAAACGCCCAACTTTTACATTCCAGTTTTTTTTTTACTTGACTTATAAGCCCTTTGAACATCATATGCACAGAAGGGAGAGGATTTTGTGAATACGCTTCTGTTCGCAGCTGCTGTTTACATCCACTAGAGCCACATAATTCTGCAGAAGTTTAATGTTAGATCTGTAAAGTGATTCCTTTAGGAAAACATTGCTTCTTAATCATAGAAAACTCAAGTTGTAAAAATAAATAAATGAGCAAACAAAGAGGACAAGTGCTTTTATACAACTTTGGAACCAATATGGTATGGTAAATATTAACAAAAATATTATTGTTTTTAGCCTGTATTTAATATTTTTATCAGATCAGGTGAAGACATCTCTTTTTGGCCTCCATGTTGCTTGTTAATAATGTTCAGAAAGATCTTATGCTTCATTTTCAGGTTTTATTTTGAGCAGTTTCAGGCATTAGGTGCACCATTATGAAATACCCCCCTCCACAAACACACACTCGCGCACACACACACGCACACACACACACACACACACACACACACACCGATTCTGTTTGGACTTTTAAGGTAAACAAGACCCAAAGCATTCTGAATATGCATGTGAAGAAACATGCATGAAGTCAAAACTCCCTAACCCTGAACAGACATAAATGGAGCAGCAACAAACATTTTTTTGTCTTATTTACTGAGAGACAGTCTGTGAGTCATGACAGTATGAACAAAAACATTTGAAGTGATGACATTAATGCGTAATAATACAAATAAAAGTAAACAGTCCTAAGACTAAGCCCTGAGGAATGCCGTTTTAGGATAAATTCACATCTTCCTGTGTGAAGAATGGAAATTAAAACATCATGGATTTAAAATAACATTTTTTTAAAAATTCATCTAAATAAACTACTTTTAAAGCAGCAGTAAGTGACATTCACATGTCTTTACTGGAAATTGTTCAAAAGAATAAATTTGATTAAATACACGTCATGAGGTGCAGACAGGGGAGTAGGATCAAAGTGCAGACAGGAGAATGGGGCGGTCATATGAACCATGATTTAATGAATGAATACCAAAACAGACAAATACTGGAAACCAGAGCATGAGACAAGGAGCAACAGTGACATGAGGTAAACAGATCAACGGAACAAATGAAAGGAACCAGGAGTGTATAGGGAGTGGCGATGACAAAGAAACTAATTAGGGAAACTCACTACAGCTGGGAAGGGAGCAGTGATGCTTGATGAGATAAATGACCAGCAGCTGGGGAAGATGACTAAGGCAAAAGTAAAGATGAAACAAGAAGAAAGAGAACCTACAGAACAGCAGAAATAAGTACCAAACCTAACAAAATACATCCACCACTGAAGAAGATAAATTAGATTAACAGAAGGAGTAAACTAGAACGAGAAGATAATACTAAGTGCAAAACAACTCCAAAACAAAGTGTAGAACAAATTGGAAGAACAAAAGGCTGGGAGGAATATTGAAAATAAAGAAACAACAATGGAAGAAGTCCACTACTGGGAGGGGCATGAAAACACAAAACTGTTAACGTTTAGACGGAATAGGTGCTGCAAATGAGCTCCGTCTATAAATGTGTATGCACGATATCTGCTTTGTATTATGTGCACTGTATTAGTCTTTAAATAAACAAACAAAAAAGCATTTAATATTGTCATCCAAATTCTACTATTCTATAAATGCTTTGTGAGAAACTATAAGGTTAATTGTTTTAATGAACCTATTAGTATATCTTCTGATTTTAAAGCATTTCTACATTTGGATTTCTATCCAAATGTTGCAGTTTTCAAAAAGTCGTGTTAAATATGCCAGCTGTGAAGGACGCAGTAAAGAGAAAACCTACAAGACACAAAGTTGGTAACAATAGATCTGACAGTGTACATAGGAGGTCAGACAGCGTAAATGTTTGGTGGATTGTTATTAATCAGCAAACATAAGGTTGAGTTGACCAACTGGAAGCAGATGGAGGCTGCCTTTAGAAAGTGACTGGATATAAACAAAAACAGAAACACTAGAAATAGGGAAACAAAGCTAAACAGCTCCTCTCAAGGAACAAAAGTGCACAGAAACAAAATTCAGAATACAGTATGAAAATAAAGCATAGGACTCTCCAAAGAAAATTCTGTTTCCCAACAAAAATTACAAGAGTCTCTCCTTTATTACGCCACATGTCTCTTATTAGCAAAATTATGCTACTGGGAGCTGGAAGTGCATTTGGCGTCTCTTTTGTATACTAAATGGTGAAAAACAGGTGGCAAACTATTGACACTGGAGAGAAGCATGTGAAAAATGTGCAGTCACAAAAGGCAAAGCCTTCGGTTGACTTAGACATTTAATCACAGGGTTGGATGATAAGTGAGGATCAAACGGAGGCACGGATAGCCTTGAATAAAAGGAGGCGACATTAACAGCTCCACGGAGGAATTTGTAGTGGACCTGTGCCAACACATGGACAGCACTGGTGGCTGGTTGTGAAACTTCAAAGATTCAGAACCTCAATGCACACTTCACCTCTAAATACTTGAATACATTGTTTAATACTGGATTTTTACATCTTTAAAAACTGTCCATAATGTGATTATGAAAGACAACCAAAAACACCAATTTGATGCATCAATTCTTCAAATATGAGACAAAAAAAGGTCAAAACATACAAAAGCGGATCTTCGACAAATTTCTTTTTGTGTAAAAACATATTTTCTCCCACAGACACTTTATAATAGTGCTAAAGAAAAAACTGTGTTTTTTCTTTTAGTTTCTGGGTTTGACAAAAAGGTCCTGAAGTAGAATTACACAGGAAGGCAATGGCAGAAGGAACAATAAGTGTTGGAACAATATATATATATATATATATAATATATATATATATATATATATATATATATATATATATATATATATCTTTTATAATAGCTATGATGAACATAAAAAAAAATTTTAACCAATGAAAGTTTACAGAAAAATTTTTGCTGAAAAAGTATGTAATTTCCAAAACTTTTCAAAATTTAAATTAAACCTTTTTTTTGTTTTGTTTTGTTTTTGCAATAAGCAAAAAAAGAAAAACAAAATCACCAGTGCAGGGAAAAAGAAAAAGGAGCTGGCGCACTATCAGTGCTGTTTCTTTATTTGGGTTTGGAAATGAATCTTGACAGATTGGGGAACAAAGACTGGTTGGTGTTAAAGTAAAAGTTACATCTCACAAAGTATGTGCAAAAGAAAGCAATGCAAAGTGTTTTTTTTGTTCACCAGACGAATGAATCAACATCAGCATGGGAATTTGCTCACACGCATACACGCACACACACACGTCCTCTGTCATTTTTCCGACTGTTCCTGTGGACCACGTGACTCGGGTCCTCCTTGTTTTAAAAAGAACCGCTACCTCTGTTGTTGATCCCCCTCCACAGCTTCAGTGGAGGTGGAATTTCCATACAACCATCTGAGCGCAGGACAGCCCGCGAGTGCAACCCGACACTTCTGCAGCCAGCCTGCCGACGGCGGGGACTGAACCCGGGAGTCCTGGAAGCGTCTCTTTGTGACTGACCTGCGTCCCGCAAAGTGTCCCCGGTCTCTGACCCTGCTCCCCTGTGATGGACCTGGAGCATAAAAGGACATTTGGCGTCTCGGTTTTACTGGCCTGTGTGATAATCTGCAGTAATGTGCCACATCCCGTCGGCGCGTATCAGTACAACAACCGCTACGCAGGGTGAGTGAATTAAAGCGCACACGCTTAACACACACCACTCACTGTTTTTAGAAGTGTCCTATCCTTATAAAGATGCATAAAAAGGCAAAAACAAAAATAAATTTTTTTTAAAGCTGACTAGAGAACAGAGAAAATCTTTGTGGTAGCTATTCACCATTTACAGAATTAAATTGCTAACACTTTAACATCTTTCCCTTGTCAAATGTCCTGGATCAGCCCAAAGTTAAGTTGCCCCAAGGCAGAATTTGATCTTAGTGCTTGCATGGTCGTCAAAACGTTTTCAACAATAACAATGTGGAATGCAGCATTCATGAGTGTTCATTCTTATCTCCTTTGATACCTGTAATTGAAATGAAGACATTTTTTAATTAGAGCCTTATTAAGACCAAAGAACACAGCAGATAGGTCAAGGATAAAATTGTGAAGACGTTTACAATGTGGTTAGGTCAGAAAACAATAGCGCAAGCCCTGAAGTTCTTACTATGTGCTGTTCAGTCCATCATTCCAACATGAAAACCGTATGGTATGGTATCCAATAACTTAGGTTGGACAACTTGTTTAACTATTAGTCAGACACTCTTCAGATCACCTGTATGGAAGAACGTGTACAAAAAGGGGGTCTGGTAACAACTTTGGTGTTCTTCAAAACTCTTCGTGTGGTAGAAGACCAACTCTGAACACCAACACTGGAAACTTGAGGTTGGCAGCATCATGTTGCAGGAAGACCTTTCCTAGAACCTGGAAGCTAGTCAGAGTTTATGGGAAGATGGATGGAGAACAAAAGGGAAACCTGTTAGCGGTTGCAAAAGATTCTAGAATGGAGCAAAGGTTCACATTCCAACAGGACAACAGCCAATGTCGTACAGTCAGAAGTACAACATGGAATGGTTTAGATGAAAACATAATTCACTAGTCAGAATGAAATCTGATCATTTGTGTCTAATCTATGTTCAGGAATGCTCCTCATAGTCTGACTGAGCTTGAGCTGTTATACAAAGAAGTTTGATAAGAAATGTAGCAACTACGTCTGGTAGGGACTTGCATCAATATTTGCAGTTTTTTAAATTATGCACACAGGAGGGCTTACTACAAACGCACCCCACACTTTGTGGTTTTAATGTGTAGAAAAATAACAATTGAAATACATATTACTTCTCCCTTACAGTTTACGGTTATGTGCTCCTTTGTGTTGGTCTCTCACAATATAATACACTGAGGTTTGTGTTCTGTCACAAAGTGAGAACAAGTTCAAGGCCTTTCGATTCTTTTGCAAGACACTGTAAGGCATTTTCCTACCAGCCACCACAGCAAATTTGTATGTGTTATGATGCCAGGGAGACAAAAATAAATTCTTTTTACTGACTGATGGCAATCTGTGCAGATTCTGGCAATTGACTCACTCATTTGCTCTTGCAGTCCTGTCCAGTGCACCAAGTTTTAGTGCAGACTCAGTGAGGTTGGGCTGAAGGAGAAAAGTGTTCCTAGTTCTTCTTCCAACAGTATATGTTGCTAATTACTGATTACCTGTTGAGATTTATCTGGAAACAGTTACTAAGTCCATAAAATGTGTCCCACCAGCACAGAACTTTATAACGTACTTTCCAGGCACACAGTGCCATTTTATAGTAACTATGTTGTCTTTAGTGTTATAAAAAGAATGTGTATATATTAAATATAGCTTAAAAGAAAATTTTGACTTTGCAATTTGATGCTTCTGCAGCTTCAATAGCATAGTATCTTTCTGACATTCTGCCTTCAGCATGTCATCCCAACATTATGCTGTTTAAAACTGTTCTTACAAGCACTTGACTCAGAAGTGGTTTATATGATAAGCGCAGCAGATGCGCTGTTCCACCAGATGTTTGCTATTTGCTGCCACCACTATAGTCTGTAGGAGCTGACTAGTCTAGACTATAGCGAATTAATGAAATGTAGGATTTTAGATGAATAGAAATTTCATCTAAATACATTTGAACAAATGTATATTTTTAAACAGTTTATAATTTTCTATTTGGAAATATGAATGAGAAAGTCAGCTCTGTCCCACAACAGTGAACCAGGTTGTCAGACATGTACTGTGTGAAAATCCTGTTCCTCATTGGGGGCTCCTGCTGGCCTGGTGGCTCCTAATCAGCGACTTGGTCCGCTATGCCTCAGGCTGGCTCTGCTGATTGCAGTAGGATAAGAAGCAGTAGGGAAGGGGGGGCGGGTTGCTCACAATTTATAAAGCTACAGGCAGGAACACTGAGCTCTATGTTTGACACCATTTGTTCTTGTAATTGCAAAAGAAAAAGGAAAAAACTTTTTGATTTGAATTTATCTGAGAGGTAAACTATCCCACATTTACTATAAGACAACACAAGGTTGTCCTGGGATGTGAATTTCTGAAGATAAGTGATGTTCAGTTGCAGGGGCGGGAGTAATCTCTGAAAACGTATAGAAAGTGGGGCAGAAGATATTTACGGTCTGTTTCAGAGGAGCCTTTGAAGTGTTTTAACAGGGGAAGAGGCAGAGCATCAGAGCTTAAAAACTCCCACATTTTCTCTCCCAGACACCACATATTTTGGCTTTACATTCATGTCTGCATGGAAGCGTGCAAAACAGGCTGTTCTGTTTCAAAATGAAGTGATAAAATTAGTCATTAGAAAGCATCTCAAAAATTGCAAACACAGAGATCCAAAAACGGAGACAGTTAAAGTTTACATCGATGCATAAACAACACTGAGACACACCTATTTGGTTTAAAGACCAGATTATGTGAGAGACAAGTTGCTGTTATGCCAGACAGCCTTCTGCAGAGAGAATCAACAGACTTGACAACTTAAAGGCAGCTTTATCTGAGAAATCCCTTTTGGTTGGTGGCTGTAAAGCGGAAATAACTTTGCCAGGCAGACAGACGCAGTAACAAAAACAGTCGTATCACAGAATATGGAAAAAAGTGTGACATACGAAGGGATCTAATGACGTAAGACCTCAAAGTAGCAAAACATTTTTTGCCTCACAAAAGTGCTTTCAACACTTTATAAGACTAAAACTGTAAAATGTTTTCTTCATCACAGACCTGGGGGCAATAACTATCATAATCATAGGAGAAATTATCCCTACATAAAATTTATCTAGAGCCACTTAACCTCTACTATAAATGTCACAGACACCTAAAATATAAAATATCTTTATTTCATCGTTTGTGGTGTTTTCTATATGGAGTTTATGTGTGCATGGATGAGCTTTTTGGATCCCTGTTCAGGCTGCACCCCTGCCTATCAGATGCTATCTGGAGATAGACAACTATTTTGTCTTTCAAGTTAAAATCTGAGAAGTGTGGCATGCATTTGAGATAACACTACATACAACATTTTGCTCTTGTACACAGTGAACAAGAGCAAAAGCTATGAGCCTTTCCATAACTTTTGACTGAAATTTGAAATGGTTCTACTTTGTAAAATAGCTGAAGCTCAATCAGATTGAACAAAGTGCATAAGAGCATTCATTTTCATGTCTCTGTTGGATTTAGTTCTAAATTTTATCTTCGCCCTTGAAACAGATGGTGATTAAAAGCAGCATTGGTATTTAAAAACTAAATTTAGACTTGCTATTCTTTTCTTTCAAAAATGTTGATCTGCAATGTTTTCTGTCAGTGCTGCTCCTTTACAAATAGGTTATTTCTTCAGTCAGTGACAGGAGGAGTCCACTTCTGTGGGACACCTGGCACTTTTGTTTCTTGGACCTCATGAATGGGCTGTTCCCATTTTTGTTTAATGAAGCTCAGCTTCCTGTGTGACAGTCTTAAAAAAAAAAAAAAAAAACTCAACATGTCAGAAGAATGGTGGAAAAATACAGAAATGATGAGTTATTACAAGCATGTTTAGGCCTATGGCTGCTGTCTTGTCATAGCAACCCATATTGGATTAATTTTGCTGAATAGCATGTGACAAGAAACATCATTGAACTTCTCCTCTTAGAGTTCTTATCTGGTAAGTTATGCAATTTTTTTTTTTTTAAAGCTGGAATTACAACATATTTATTTTGTGTTTGTCACATGGTGTATGAAAAACTTTCTATATTGATGTTTTTTAATGTAACTAGAAAGATAGATGGATATATATATGTGTGTGTGAATACATGTTTGTGTATATATGCATAAATGTGTGCATTTTAAGCAAGATTTATTTTTTTGGGCTCAGTGTGTGCTTCATATCTTTGAGGACTTGTATGATGTACGTGTTGGAAGGATGAGGTGTTTGAACATTGCACAGTCTTAAAAAATATCGTATTTGATAAAAATGAAGTGGTTGCTTATTTTTTATTATTTAGCCCCATTTAAATAAAAATTTAAGTTTATGTTGTTGGTGTTTCGCATAAAATAACAACACAATTACGTTTTAAACAGGAAAGTCCATAAATGCAGCTGCTGCTACTGTATCTGCTGGCTGCAGGCGTCACCTTTATAGACTGGTAACATAATCTTATAATGAAGTCTGAAACATGTTATTTAGTTCTGCCCTGTTCTGAGATACTGAAAGAGGAAAGCCCCCATTTCACTTTCTGAAATCTGTTATTACAAGTGTCAACAAGTGTCACCTTTAGCTGCCAGAAAGACTTGTTTCATGACTTGACTTTGTAGCCCAGGTGTTTTTACTACATGCACTCTGTGAATGTGTGTTGAAGTGGGTGGAAATGCTGTAAAAACGCCTTTTGGGGTGTTTTTTCTTTTCTATTATTGTTGCTGTAACCTGAACCTTAGAGGACTTGTGTTTTTTCCACAGCGACCAGGTCTTCAGGATTACCCTGACTAACGACACAGAGGTACAAGCCCTCAAGAAAATCTTGGGACTGATTAAGGTTGGCATTGTTTAATCTATTTCCCTAAAACTTTAAACATCTCTTTGTATTCTGAGGTATCATACTATATATCTCAGCAGGATATCACAGTCTGGGACCCTCAGTGATCATCTCAATTTAGAAGCTTAGACCAATATGAGTTTTTTTTTTTCATTTTCTTGGTAGATTGTTCAGATGTTTCAACTCTGTGAACATATGTTTCAAAGACACTGAAATTAGGCAGTAAGCCACAGAGGAGACAAAGACCTCTCCTCTTCTCTCAAACTCATTTGGAAGTAATTATCCATTAGAGTCAGGAGCGACCAAGACCGTCTTCACACAAGGTTCCAGTTTGCTCATGCTTTAGCATAAAAGGTTGGTTTGAAAATGGACAGAGATACTTATTCTACATGAAAACTATGGATTTGATTGATGATTCAAATTATGATTTACAAATGTTGTTTCTTCTTTTTCAGATATGCTTTTTATACCAGTAGAAAGTATCTACAGTAGGGGGGCACCGATTGCAGATTTCTGGCCGTTCATTTAAAAAGCTTAACTTTTTCTCTCATGGAAGCAAAGAAAATCACAGTAGTTGATTTTTAGACATTTGCCGAGGTTGATGGACAAGATCAGCTTCACATGTAAAAATCGGCTGATCACCGATCTCCCAAAATTAAGGAAATCGGCACAGCTAAATCGGCTCGCCAATATATTGGTGCACCCCTAATTTACAGCAACAATTACTAAAACAAACAAACCAGCGATAAAGTAATAAAATTCAGTAATAAATGGTAAAGAAATTAAGAAATAATCTTTGCATTTGACATAACATCTTCCCACTGTTACAGTTTAGCATAACCATTTGTTTAACACAATGAAGACAGTCATCACTAAGTTAAAAACAAATATGACGCAGCATATGATGGAAAGGATTTTGATCTCAATGTTTACATAGCAACTTTTAATATGGCCGTTTAAACTTTCTCTATCCCCCATGAGTGATGAAGCACTGCTGGGCAAAACAAGGACAAAATGGACTCAGTGAATGCTTCTAATAGCCACTGGTCAGAACTGAGCTATTGTATTTGGAAGCGATGCAAGCACAGAGCTGGCAGAGGGTGCAGCAGAAACAACACCAGCAGTGGCTACTGTTTGGACAGCTGTGTACGTGTGTTCTCAGTAGCTTCCACACACCGCACCGCCTCCAGTGTGTTTCTAAATTGTGAGCTTCAAGACGCACATCAGGTCAGAGACTCAATGGCAGAGATTGCAGGTGTCCTGGTTCATTCGGTTTCTGTTTATTAATGAAATAAACTTAAGTGACACAATATTTAATATGAAAAAAAATCATTTGGTTGAGTGTTTATTCTAAGCAGCTTTACCAAAACAGTGTCAGATATAAACAAATTGCTGTATCTACAAAACCGAATCCTTTATTTAGACAAGGGTTTTATACAAGAATTTGTCTGAGAACAGGGGGAAAATTTAGTATCACTTAAAACTGTACATCAAAATATAATCACCTGTTTTTTATCTGAAGTAAATACAAACATACAAATTTAAACATTTCATGGAACAATTATTAAATTTGTGTAATGTTATTTTCAACATCTATGTCAGGGCAAACAGACTGGTTTTGTACTTTTGTTACACATCTGTTCACTTTAGGTTGAATAACATCAGTGATCACTTTAACCAAAAATCTAATCATAGTCTTAGACTTTTTAACCCTTTAAAAAAAAAACATATTTTTTGGGACTAATTAGCAGTGCTCTCTATATATGGAGCGTAACCTTTCTGTCTGCAATGTGCAGACAGAAAGCTCTCTGCTAAGAGGAAATGGAGCTAACATTCACCCACCATGCAGACTGTCTAACAATATGTTACTATTAATACAAGAGCCATTTTTGTTCAATTTCCTCTTCAGCTGACATTTCTGCCATCTGTACCATCTACCATCTGCCCTCAGCTCTTGTTCCCCAGGTGATGCACAACAATAAATATCTGTAAAAGTTTTTACATACATATTTTTATACAGAATCGACTTTTAACTTAATTGAACTTTGAGTTAAAAACATGGGAAAGCTGAAAGGAAAAGACAAAATATATTAAATGCTGCTTTCTTTTCAGACTGTTCATACACATCTGCTATTTGACAACAGGAACTAAGGATGTGTATTTTTGTCTGAGTTTACAAAAACAGACACATTGGGGCTTTTTTTCAGTGCGATCGTGTTTGGTCGTCTTATTTTAAATTCCAGACAGTGAGACAGCGTCACATCGTTGCCCTGATGTGAAACAAATCAGTTTTTATTGAGCTATAACTTTCCTCTTCTTGCTTTGCCCACTCTGCTACCACATGAAACAGAATAATACTAATTCAATTATTCATAGCTGGCCGAAGGGACTTTAAGAAACTGAACGTTAAATGAAGCCATAAAGCGTTGATTTTTAATTGTCCCTTGTGGGATACATGTTTTTTGTTTTTGTTGTTTTAGCTTTTTTTTGGGCATTAAAAGAGCGGGCCTAAAACATTCGAAGGTTTATTATGAGAAATGGCATAAAAAGTGGCACAATATAAATGTAGTTTACACTCTGGGGCACCAAACGTTCTGGTTGATGGGTTTCAGTCCAGGAGTTAAAATAATCAGCTACGCATTCTGTAAACTTTTAGAAGTTGACACATTAATAAGCATATGTCCAGCAAATGAGAGCCAGCTGAGGATGATTGCACATGTACTGCAGTTCACCTGATAATTGTCTATAATTTGAAGATTACTGCCTGCCTATTTGGTTGAAGATACTCTCTTGGACACGTTTTCCTTCCTCAGACGCTCTCCATTTCTCAGTGTGTTGTTTTATCTGCGTTATCACTCAATGTCTGTATTTATTTTGCGAACGGGCGGATGTCAGCTCTTTTATGTATTCAAATTTGATTTGATTCCTTTATGTAAAATTTATAAGGAAATGCATTTAAGTTTGAGAGGAGTATGAGGGATTATTGTTGCAGGACATCGTAGGTGTTATAGTCAGATTAAAATCCCTGGAATTTGTATCGACCATTAAAATCTGGATAGGTGCAGCTCTGTTTGTGTCAAATGGACAAAAAAAAAGTGTTGGGATTAACATAGTCTGAATCTGAATATTTTTGAAGAATTTTACACAAACATCTTATATCTCATATTTCTCCTCTTTAAAGTGAAAGTATGAAAAGGTGCCCTGAATTTCTGACTGATTTATTACCCAATTTCATGCTTCAGGTGGACTTGTGGCAACCGAACAGTGCTTCTCTAATCCATCGCAATGCCACAGTGGATGTTCATGTGAAGCAAAATGACACACATCATCTGCGTGCTCGGCTAAAGCTGGAAAGAATCAAGTATCGGTAAGCAGACTGCATGCATGGTTTTTGCTTTGCAAGAGTTCCTAAAACTGGATACTGTCCTATTTTATAATGAGAAAAACAAAACTAAAGTTATAAACAGCCTGAAAGACACACATTTGTTGTCTCTCTCTAAGGTTATTGGAATTACCCTGTTTTCCTGCTGACATGAAATATTATTCTCATATGCAGTGCTGGCCATGGCTTGCATCCAAAATGTTTAACATGGACTCAAACTTCTCTCCCTGGCCACTTCACAAAGCAACTCCTTCATCTTTGTTTGCCATCCCTCTTGAAAATTAACGCCAGAGTGACGAAGCTCTATGGAAGAATCAGCAGCTAAAAAAATAAAGACTTTTGTTGTCATCTCAGTCATTGGGGAGAAATTTCAACTCTGTGCAAGAGATCAGCTCTGTGTGTTGGAAATCTTTCGCACCAATTTTTTTTCTCCACATGATCAGCTTAGATGATGCAACTGATGTTTTATGGAGTAAAAGGTCTCATGCCCAAATGAACATGATGACAAAAGGGTCACATTATCTACTTCTTTCTCAGATGGGGGGTGAAGAAAAAAAACTTCAAACATGTGACAGATCTTGATAATTATAGTATAACTTTTAATTGTGCTGTCAGACACATTGACTGATGATGTATAATTAGTGTTATGATGGAGCACAATACAAAGACCTATCTAATCCAGCAGTTCATTTCAACACCGTCATATCCCAGTAAATAGGAAACTGTTAGGAGGTATTATATTAATGTTATACTGTTGCATCAGTCAGAGCTTTATAACAATTACACAGACTTAAAAATGTCCTTTTAAACAAACGTCAAACCCTGGTGTGCAAAGTAGTTGCCTCAGCAAAAACATCAGACTTTGGCTGAATGGCCTCCTCAGAATCCAGTCAGTCCTATGATAAAGCAGAGACATGCGTAAAAGCAGCAGAGCTCTACTGGAGACGAAGAGACGGTGAAAAGAAAACATTACGGAGGAAAGAGACTGAGAAATAATTTAAAAATATTACTTTTATAGATATGTCAAGTAATAAACAAAATTGGAAAATCATTGAAAAGTTCGTTCACGTAACTCAAAAATGGTGGGAAAATGTTTCTCTCCCTATTTCTACCTCCCACAGGATGCTCATCTCCGATCTGCAGAAAGAAATTGAAAAGCAGACAGGATATCGCTCCTCCCGTAAGCGGAGGTCAGAGTCTCAGTACGACTACGAGGTTTACCACTCGCTGGAGGAGGTAGGTGTTGCCCCACCTGTCACTGTCACAGTTCTGTGCTAAAGCACCGTTCACATAACAAGCATCTTTATTAAGGCATTCAGCTGCTTCAGGCACTCAGAGTGCCTTTTTCATGCAGCTCTATTTCTCCTGTTTTATTGTCTCACAAACACTCCACCACAGTTTATAGCTTCAGCCATTATCATTATTTATGCAGGTATGTCGTCCATCTGCCTGGGAAAAAAAAAAATCATGACACCCTTTAAATCCTGAGATGTTTATCCACACATTCCTAGTGATAATTACATTTACAAACTTACCACAGTGTACCTGCAGAGACACATTAAAGGAACAGCACAACTTAAAACTACTCTGCATTTTTATGCAATTCACAAATTATGATTGCAGATTCAGAACTGGATGTTTGAAATGAACAGAAGTCGCCCTGAGCTGGTTTCTATGTTGTCTCTGGGGAAGTCATATGAGGGGAGACCGCTTTTTGTGCTTCAGGTAGGAGAAAACCAAAATTAAATAGAAATGACAAAGGAAATGTGCATTGAAACACAACTGTGTCCTGACTAGGATTTTTGTCCTGTCAGCTAGGAAAGAAAAGCCGTCTGCAAAAGAAATCCGTGTGGATTGACTGCGGCGTTCACGCCAGAGAGTGGATTGGACCTGCTTTCTGCCAGTGGTTTGTCAAAGAGGTACTTCTGTTGAGCTGTCTGCAGATTTGATCACTGAAGCGATGTTTAAGCCTTCTTTCCTTGCACATATTATCAAGCAATCTGGGTTAAAAGTCTTTTACCAAGACAATAGCGGTCCATTTGTCTTGCATGGCTTTCCTAATGTTAGTATGCATTTTACAGCTGTGATATTCATCCAAACATTCACACAAGTTGTATTCCCCACTTTTACATGAAAGCTTCATGTTCCTTTGCTACCCTAAACCTGTTTTCTCAAAACTCAATTACCATGAACGCTCGGTCTCATTGTACTGTTTGATGTCTGTAAGAAAACGTTGTCCAGTGACAACAAGCAGGTTGCTCATTGTGCCTTCCCTCAATAGCTAATTGTGAAATGCTAAAAACCCCACCAGTAACAACTCATGAACAAAGCTGTGATTTGTACAAAAAAAAATTATAATTGAGTAATCTTCACTTATGTAAAATTACCACCAACTGCATGAAAATGAGTAGATGGAGTTTTTATGCGTCTGCCATAAAAACAAACAAAAAACAACAGTTAACAGGGGAGGTGGTGGTAGTAAAGCTCATAAAAGAGCATTACAAAAATCTAATTTTGGAGTTATGAATTTATTTTTATTTGTCACAGTTTAATTAAAAAGAAAAATGCAAACAAAACTTTAAGGAAGCATCGTCCTTCCTTAAAGCTTTGCCCCAAAGGTTTGGAGTAATATCAAAAGTGCTGCACCCCAGGAGTTTTCTTGTAGGGTAAATCTCTACCTGTGTTGCGGGCTCTTACTCTGGTAAATGCAGCGGGAATGGAGGGTGGTTAATTATGCTTTGGATTGCCTGAGGAGATCCCTAAAGTGGAAATGGGCTTTTAGTTTCAGTTATTTTCTCTGAAATGAAAGCCAGAGCAGAACCAGACTCTGCAAGAATGTTTATTTTCCCCCTTTTTATGTACCATTTGTACCCCAGATGAATGGGATTAGAAACACAGTAAGAGCCAGAAGAAAAAGGATACACTGTAGAGTTTATATAAGTTTAGAGCCCTGATTTAAAGAGTTTGTTCAGCTTGATATCAAAAGGACTTTCAGACATGGCTTAAGATACAAGGCAGAAATATGTTGGAAAGAGTTCAGTTTGTGTTTAATTTTTTTCTAACCGACAAAAAAAATATAAAATTATTTATTTTTGTATTGCATGAACCAATTGATTAATTAAATTGTATAAAGCGTTAAACATTTATTTAATGTTTAACTGACTCAGAGCAGCTGGCGGGTCCTACTGCACATAGTAAGTGAGTAAAATATGTTTGTAAAACAACTTTCACAGATGAAAAAGTCAGAAAGTGCTTGAAAAAATTAGTGTAAACATTAAAATAAACACGAATAAAAGACAGAGTAAATTAAGGGACACAAATAAATAAAAACATAGGAACCTTTCTCTATCATGCTGAATGTGGTTTTTGTAGGCAGTACTTTGTGTTGGCCTGTTACATAATGTCATTAAAGTACATTGAAATTTGTGGTATTAATGTGTCAATTTTTAATGCGTGTGAAGAAGACACACATGCAGTTGGTAGGACATGATTTATTTTGGAGTAGGGATGCAAAATGTGAAAATGCAAAGTTAACTGAAACACATCAAGTAGAGTTAGAAACTAAATCAACAGACCATGACATAAGAAACACTAAACTAAAAGACAGTGACAGAAGGAAAGGGATTGTAGGATAGTGATGGGGAAGTTAATTGTATAAGAAAATTATCAACAAAACAATAAATAGAAAATGGAAGCAGAAAAGTTGTGACATCAAATGCAAGATATGAAAATATGTAGTAACGTCGGTGCACCACTAGAGGTCAGTGTGGCGTCTTTTTTAAACCCCTACCATGTCAACATTGGCTAGAAACTAAATGGGACACACATTTCCAGATTTGAAGATGCATATTGTTACACAATGTGAAGAGAAGCAAAACAAAAGACATAAGAAAAACTAGGTTTGTTATTTAACTTACTAATTTTTTTATTTGTTTGCATAATTTCAGGCACTGAGCTCATACAAGTATGATTCTGTGATGACACGACTACTCAACCATCTTGATTTCTTCATCATGCCCGTCTTCAATGTGGATGGGTATCACTTCAGCTGGAACACGGTACAATATGCTTCACGATTGGCTATCTTAGTTTTTAAAGAAGAACTGAAGCTAATGTCTAAACTTCATGTTAAAGAGGTGTTGTTTCACTTAGCTGTCACCCTGTGTTTTTTTTTTTTGTTTGTTTGTTTTTCAGGATGGGGAGTTGCAGTAAGAGAAGAAAAAGTGCAATCTGATTGTTTTAGTTTTGTTTTTTCAATTAATTTTGATAATCTTTCTTTTCTTTATTTTTTAGTTGAATATAGTTTTATTTTTTGCAAAATGCCCTGATGTTGTTTTTGCTGTGCTTTTGGGGTGTTGGTCTTTTCCTCTTACTTTTGCAGTTTGGGTTTTTTCATACCTCATGAGAGAATTATCAAACATATTACCAAAAGAAATAAACTCATATGTTTAAAAACATAAAAAATGTTCCTGAAAAAAATATATACCTTGATATAGAATCCATCCATCTATCCATTTTCTGAGCACCCTTCTCCCTAACGGGGTCAGGAGGTGCTGGTGCCTATTTCCCGCTGCGTTCCGGGCGAGAGGCGGGGTTCACCCTGGACAGGTCGCCAGTCTGTTGCAGGGCATCACAGAGAGACAAACAGGACAAACAACCATGCACACACACACTCACACCTAGGGAGAATTTTGGGAAGGCCAATTAACCTGACAATCGTGTTTTTGGACTGTGGGAGGAAGCCGGAGAACCTGGAGAGAATCCACGCACTCACAGGGAGAACATGCAAACTCCGTGCAGAAAGCCCCCGGGCCGGGAATCGAACCCAGGACTTTCTTGCTGCAAGGCAACAGCGCAACCCACAGCGCAACCCACTGCGCCACTGTGCAGCCCCTTTAAATAGAATATAAATTAAAATTCTGAATTTCTTAGATTTAGATAAGAAACAAGCATACTACATAAATATAGAAAAACAATATCCATAAGAATTGACTTTTAATGATTGCAGAAACACTTTACTGGTTATTAACATAGCTAAGCTCTAAAATTGTCTTAATTTCTGCAGGATCGGTTCTGGAGGAAGACGCGTTCCAAAAATCACAAGTTCCTCTGCAGGGGTGTGGATGCCAACAGAAACTGGAAGGTGAAATGGTGCAGTGAGTTACTTTCTCAAGTCTAACTACCATAAAATAGGTTTTTTCCAACACTCATGACAACATGCAAAGCCTGCAAATAACTAAGGTAACATACATGTTGCTATGTATGTTATGTTACATACATAGCAATGTAAGGTATTGCTATGTGAACATTTTGTTGCTGTTGTTTTGCAGCCAAAACAACAGCAATCTATGTTAAATGAGCCAAAGTGAAATATTTATCTTCCTTTTGAAGGTGAGGGCGCTTCCTCCCATCCGTGTGATGACACCTACTGTGGCCCTTTCCCCGAATCTGAACCTGAAGTCAAAGCAGTTGCCAAGTTTCTACGGAAGCACAAGAAACGCATAAAGGCGTACATCTCCATCCACGCCTATGCGCAGATGCTCCTTTATCCGTACTCCTACAAATATGCCCCAATTCCCAACTTTAACTGTGTGGTAAGGAGTCCACCATAATACAAGCTGCTCAAGCATCACTTTGTTTTATTTGGATCTTATGCAGGATCTATTTGCATTCAGCCACCCTGAATCAATATTCTGCCAAATGACATTACTGTTCTTTCAGCAGCAAATCTTTAGGGTTATGTCTCTATTTGCATGTAGAAACTGATTTTTCTTTTTTTTTTTTTTTGGTCCATTCTTTGCAAAGTAGCACAAGCTAAGTTTAAAAAACTTGCTACAAATTCTCAATTATATTTAGTACTGGGCTTTGTACCATTTTAGCACATGAATATACTTAGATTCATAAGGTTTAGAGTCTCTTCTTCAGTCTCAACTGTTTTCTGGCCCCTATTAGATTTTCTTTCAGGAATGGTCTTCATTTTGTTACATCAATCACATATAATTCCAAAAAAAGCATACAAGTTCAAAGACTGTACCTAAATAAAGGATCGACTGACCCACACTTCATAAAAGTTTTTTTGTTTTTTTTTCCCAGGAGTCAGCAGCTCAGAATGCAGTGACAGCACTATATTCTGCATATGGAGTGAGGTACAGATATGGACCTGCTGCCACAACATTATGTGAGTTTTCTGTTTTTCATAATTAACTTGGAGTTTTCCAGAAGAAATCTCAGAAATGATTTTATTAATAATTCTTATCATTTTTTTTCACTTATTTTCAGATATTAGCTCTGGCAGCTCTATTGACTATGCCTACAGGAATGGGATTCCCTATGCTTTTGCATTTGAACTGAGGGATACGGGTCATTTTGGTTTCCTCCTGCCAGAATCATTGATCAAACCCACCTGCACTGAGACCTTGAAAGCTGTGAAAGTCATTGCATCGGGTCTGCTGAAGAAGTGCAACACAGACAAGAACAAATTTTCATATATATGATTATTGTAAAATTTTCTACCACAAGTTATTGGAGATCTCAAAGACATGATACAAGTTTATATCATCGATTTGTTTTTATTATTTTTACATTTAAGAAATGATTGTGGTGGCCTTAGAGTCCCTGCATATAAAGTTATTTTTCTCAGTAAAATAGTAGGGATGTGAGCACTTGACGAGCTGTGGTGGCACTTTAAGAATAAAATAATAAGCAATCTTTTATATTAAAAAAAATAAACAACTTGTTTAATAATTCTATTCATGTGTGTGACTGTTTGTATGTTTACACACTGAATCTGAACATTATTTCTCTTCTGCTAGCCAGAGTGCATGTAAAAAATTGATAGTTTTGGGTTTAAAAAAAAGCTTGGGATCAGCACTTTTCAACATTGAGAAAATAAGTTAATTAGTTCCTCATCTTGAATGAAGACAAACAGAATTTTAATGTCATTTATCCCCTTGAAAAATGCATCCAAATACAGGTCCCCGTAACATGCAACATAAGTTTCTAGACTAACCCAATAACTGGGTTAGTCACCTTAATGTGGTGGATTCAGGTACAGCAGGGAGCTGCCCGTGTTTTTCAGATGGAGACAATGAAACCTCTAAGTCTGCTCTGACCAGCTGGTTAGTCATGTTTGCCTTTTGGGATCAACCAGAGCAAGAATTAATCTCCCATGCTGAGACTTGGCTTTGCCTGTTCAGTGTCTGCTGAATTTTAAAATTAGGAGGTTTCTTTCACAATTAATGTGTTTTTATTTTAGCAGCCTAACTCATACTCAGATTTCGGCTTCCCTTCAGCTTTTTCAGTAAATTTGAGCTGCTCTTTTGGGTTCAGGTGATAGAAAAAACTGTTTTTCTTCACAAATGCTTTGAGTATATGCTTTCAGTTTCTAATAAGAGAATTGTGTACTTTTGTTTATGACCACCTCTATGGCAACATCCGAGTCTGCAACATGGCCCATTATTTTTGAGCTGAAATTTGTTATGTAAAAAGTTGTGTACCCCTCACAGATTTATTCTGTTTTTGCTTCTTTTTTTGTCAAAGTGTCTGTTTTAGATCATCAACTTAATTTAAATATTAAACAAAGATAGCCTGAGTAATTTCTGATTTTGTGTGAGAAAAAAAAAAGGGTTCAAACAAAGCTCAACTTGTCTGAAAAATAGGCCAGAGGACAACCAACGCCCTTTCACCAAAAGCTCAATCAGTTTCTGGTGGAGCCAACAGATTATTTGAAATGTGGAGAAAAGCTTGTTCCCACCAACACAGTGGCAGCATGTGACAGTATCATTTTTCTTTGAGGTGTGGTGAGATCCATGGTTCAATAAAGATGCTTGTCAAGACATGAAACTAATACAATCTCACAAAGATTCAAAATGCAGATTATAAAATTGATTCCCATGCAAACCTGCCAAAAGATTTTGTGTATGGTAGACCAAATTCAAATAATAAAAAAACCCACAAACTCTTAAGTAATAAAAATGGAATTATGTGGAAATGTTATAATGACAAATCAATAAAGTACCTGAAGTCACAGCAACAGTTCTCTTTTCAACAGACTGACAATAAGAAAGATTTTTTTGTGCCTGCCACTGCAATGTGGCTCATTTCCTACAAGAAGGGATAAAGTCCACTTCTCTGCAGGTTGTGCAACAGGATGATAAAAGCTGGGAAAGGAAAGCAGTGTCTCAAGTATTCTGCTTTTTCGTCATTTTAAAAACATTTAAGACTTTTGTCTCAAAAATAAACAGTTGTTAGGGTGCCTGCGCTCAGGAGAGGGTACATTTTGTGAATTTACTCTTGTAGGATGAAGACAAAAAGATGTTTCAGCTACTTTCCCATTTATCTACCACATTTATATTTTGAGATCTCAGGCAACTACAACAGCAAGGACAAAGAAAAACAAGCCAGAATTCAATTTTCACTCGTTTATTCAAACTTATGGTACAAAATGATTTCCGTAACAGATTTCATTCATGATCCACACCACACGGTCAGTTACTACAGTATGAGAGCAGAACAATGACGTGACTGGGGAAGATTAGACGGAGGATGCAATCTGCAGGCACTGGAGGGATGTTTGGAGAGCCCGTTGTTTAGAAGTACTCAATGGGGTCATGGTGGCTCTTGGAGAGCTGAACACTGGTCACCTCACATTCCTCTCCGTGGCACGGGAGTTTCTTGTAAACACGGATGTGGATATGCTCATCGCCTCCGACATGGACCTGAAAATAATCAAAGCTAACAGTTTACGCTGCACTCGCTTGGGCAAACCCTTGATTATGTAAAATAACATGTGATACTACTTGAACTTTTTCATATTATCAGAACAGATGACATGAACAACAAAAAACAACGGAGAGATTGTGCTCTCAAATCTATCAGAGTTGCCACCTCAATTTTTTTTTGTCTTAAAGAGTGAAATAATAATAATAAATTAAAAAAACATGCATGGTTCTTCGCCCACTTTGATATTATGCACTACTTTGTGTGTTAAAGCCATGCCCTGAATTAGTACTACATTACCCACAATGCACTTGTTTGTTTTGTAGTTCTACTACTCGCTCATAGCTTAGCAGTTGCTATCACACTGTGTTTTGTCTGTGGTATGCATCAAAGAAAGACACGTTAAAAGTGATTCAATTTAGACTTGAATCCCGTGCAACATAAAAAAAAAAAGATGGAGACTATTGTAAAATGAAACTGCGTTGCCTTTTGCAGAGCAGCGACTCTTGTCTCACTAGTAATAACTGAGTATCTACGCCTCTGGTTCCGGTCCGGTGTTGCTCGGCGAGTCGTGTGAAAAGGACTGAGCCATGTCTGAAACTAACATCTGGAATCCTCCCTGTCAACTGTTAATAAAAGTAATCACAAGCGCTATTGACTGTTTCCAGCAGCCCACCGCATGGATCATCAGAGAGAAAATAAGGCACTTGATGCACGTAAAAGCTTTCAGGGTTTCAGGTTAGTCCTGTGTGATCTAACCTTGATGAAGAAGTTGGTCCCCGCTACAACCTGACTCTTGTAGCTCTTGGCGGTGAAGGTCTCATAGGTCTTCCCTGCTTTCTGCTCCACTTGAGTCTTCATCTGAGAGAACAGCGACGATTTGAGCAGGGCTGCTATTCATTTGCAGTATTTCTTTATTTTTTAGTCAAGAAGCTCGTTTTTCCTCACCTTATTACACATCTCCTGAATTTCGGCCGTGGCGTCCTTCGCTGTTGGTGATGTGCCTCCACACAGCATGTTGACGAGTCAGTGCAAACGCGATCAGAGGCAGAAAAACCTTAGAAATATCCAGTCAGCCTGTCTGTGAGGCGTTTAAATTGAGCATGTAAATCACATGACGCAGCAGCGCCCCGGAGCGTACCATCACACAGTAGAGAGGGGTGTGTTTTTATTTTTATTTAGAATGATAGAATGAGCGAAACAATTGGGTTGCTTTATAAGTAGAGGCTAAGCGGCGTTAACATCGTGTTGATTTAAGCTTCCCACGCGTTTCTTTTTAAAGGCACGGGGACTCTACATTTCACATGCTTCCCTCATCTGAGTCGGGTGGTTCAGACCGAGGAGTGGATGCTTCACTGACTGCACAGCTGGCTGGATTTTGAGGCCCAGTTCTTCTTGTCATCGTGGAATGAGGAGTGAAGTGAGATTTTGGGACAAAACATGAGTCATGGCAAAACCAAAGAAACCAAACACCTCACCCCAGTTCTTCTTCCTCTTTCCTACTTTCCACCCTCCAATCTGTATACTATTTTCTGAAGAGCAAACTGGATAGAGAAATTAACGCCTTGTCTAGACGTTACACTCTTCTGTTTAATGTTTTTGCTGTTGTTGTATTTTTGGCCCGAGAAAAACATGTTGGTGTCAGTCATACAGAAACATGGCTGTGTAAGCTGTGGCTTGTGCGTGTGAGCAGATTAAAAAGTAGGCTAAAAGAGATCGAGAAAAAGATAGAATCTACAGCAATTTCCAGGTTTTGCTAAGTTTTAAGTATTTTCCTACTCTAACACAAATGGCTTAACTAGTTCCTCTGCATGCCATCAGCTTCTGCAGGAAGCAGCTAATGATTCATTCATTTGATTGATAGTATGTTGAACCAGGGAAACAAGCAAACAGGACCTCTTATGGTTTTCTGACAACAATCAATGGCACAGCAAATAGTCAAATGAATTTTGCACTAGGGTGGCGCAACAGGAAGGGTTTAAAGTTTGGGATATTTTTGTTTATAACACTGCTTTAAACTCCACATCGGTATGTGACCCATCTACTGTGTTTTTGGTTTTCATGGTGGTGGTTTATATCGACCACAATCATACATTCTTACAACTGAACCAAAAAAAAAAAAAAAAACTTTACTTTTACATTATAGGAGTTGTTGAATTTCGTATCTAAAAAAATAACCCTGATGAAGCTGTATCCATTGAGATACGTTCTTCATATGCAATATATTTAAGAACATCAAGCTGCAGACATATGAGTCATCCTTTAGTGTATGACTACTGGGAGTACTGTGTGCAAAACAATAAGGAACATCAGTCACAAGACGCAACAGAGATGTGAGTAATGGTAAAGATCAGGGATTACCAAACTGCTTAGAGGCTCATATTTCTAGTCACTAAGCAGGAAAGTTGGCAGAAAAACCACATCGTAAAACATGTGATTTGCAGGAGTTAATTTCAAGATTCTCTCTAAGTGAGCTGTCACAGATACAGAGGAGTGAACAATTTACACAAGCTGACGGCTGTATTTTGCTAACACATGAGGTTCTCTTTGCCACGTCGTCGCTGGATATTGATGATTTGATATCTTCACTGCTGGCCGCCGGACCCTGAGCCTGGACTCTGAACCTTTCAAAAGTAATCAATGGAGTCATGGTGGCTCTTGGAGACTTGTATGTCTGTTAGCTCAACATCTCCCCCATAACATGGGAGTTTTTTCCAAACACGGTGGAGTCAGCTAATTAATTATATGTAGCTTATTCAATCTCAGTAAACTAGAGCTACTCTGATCATTGAAGACCAAAGCTAAGCTGTCTGGCTTGCATAAAAACTAAAACTGCACATCATTTTGAACAATCCATTTGAGGAAGTGTGAAAAATGGTGAAGGCAGTATGATGCTGTGAGCATGGTATTCTTTGGGAGGGACATAAAAATGGGTTAAACTTATTGGGGAGATGGGTGAAGATGAGAACAGATCAAACGTGGAAGCAGACAACCATTCTTTATATTTGCGCAAAAGAGCTTGGCAGGAAAAGTATATTCATGTGCTAGAACAGGACATTCAAGTTCAAAGAACAGAAGAATAAAAGCAGTCTCAATATGTATCAAAAGTAGGAGTCAAGGTAAAAAAAAAAAAAGGCACTTCACAATTATGTACTACTTTCCCTCAGTCTGTTACGTTTCTATAAGCGTAGGAACTTGTGGTTGTAATGTGACAAAATGTGAAAAAGTTCAAGGGATGTTGACTATTTCTGCAGAGCACAAAGCATTAAGCCATAGTAAATCAATAAATAAAAATACAATAACCTGTCAGCTGTTAATTTTGAAAGTATTTGTTCAATTGGATGTTGAAAGAACTGCATAGCAAAGTCCTTCACTGTCAAGGACAGGATGCCTTAAACTAAAGTTGAACGTGCCTTAATGAAATAGTTTGTCCCAGCTACAATCTGAGTCTTATAGCTCTTGGCTGTGAAAACTTCATAGGTCTTCCCTGCTTTCTCTTCCACATCAGGCCTCACCTGAGGAAAGAAATAAAAATTAACAGATTACTGCACACCTCAGAGAGCAGGAAGGGCTCGTGTCCAACTGGGTGTGGCATGTGCTTACTTTATCACAGATCTGCTGAACATTTTCATCGGCATCCTTCATCTGATGGGACATCCCCCCGCATTTTATGTCCATGGCAGATTTTAAAACACAAATCACACTAAAGTTGTCAAGAAAACCACTTACTGTGTGTGACCCAGAGAGGAATTCAAGCAGAGAACTGAGCTCATGTTGGTGGACTGTACCATGTCTTTGAAAGGAAAGGGGAAGCTCAGGAAAGCTTTTCTAATGCTTTCCTGAGCAAATTAAGAAAATACTTGTTTACTTACCTGAATTATCCACATGGTGCAGGAAGTTCTATTTGCCAGGAAGGAAATGAAAATAAATAGTTTAGCACCAATTGTATTTTTACTGTCCATCCACATAGCTCAGTCCCTTACAGAACAGCTGATGCTGAGGAGGAAAACCGACTGTGCAAGGGAGCAGAGATCTGAGTGGGTGTATAATGTCAAGGGCCACTGAATGTCTTTTCTATTTCCAATTTTTAAGGTGTGTTTGCAGCTAATATGTTACAGGGATGGATTTTTTTTATTATGAGAAAAAAAATCACACATTAAGCTGCTCTGTGTGAACAGTTTGTGTATGAATACTCTTCATAAGTTGTCAATATGTATATAAAGTGTGGAAACAATTGATTAAATCTTTATGTTAAAATCAGTTTTTGTACAAACGGCACCGAGGGTGGAGGAGGAAAAATCATCTTCCTTTCTGGGTAAGATCTCCAATACCAGAGGACCAGACCTCATCTATTATTGGCAAGCATTTTCTCCCTGCTTTGAAAAAAAAATCTAAATCTGCTAATTTATTTATAAAAACATCTTTTATCACATAGAATGAAAATAAAAACCAAAGACTTTCAAGAATTTGGACTTCCTGTTTCCTGCTTATGTACCAACAGATGTCAGAGCATGTTTTACAGGATGCAGAAAACAGATCTCTGCTTGTAAATACAAAAATATATATATACTTTGAAGTTAGTTAATTTATATGCTATTAAGCAATGGAGATATAAAAATCAAGTTTGTATGTATAAATAAAAATTCTAGTTTTCTGTAGGAAGTAATTCAGTATCTCAAGTCTTCTCTGTATAATAAATTATATTGATTCTATTTGGAGCAAAATATATGTTGATTGGAATCATGAATAGATTCCATAAAGTAGTTTTCCAGAAGTGCTTGGAAAACTTTTTAACTAGTTAGATTTTGCTTTTATATCGCTTGACAGAATCCACTTTGCCTAGGGTGTTCCATTAATTAGCAAATACTTATTTATATTTGTTTAGGAATGTGCATATTTAAATACATTTTACTTCCACACATCTGGGATTAAAAAGATGCTTCGTGTTTGTATTTTGGATCAATTCTAAAAAGATCTGCACTTCTCTGCTCCACAAGACAACAGTGTTTACATGTAGGAAGACAACCTAATGAGTAAGCTGAGAAGTCTTCAGTAACTAAGATAAAGCTGCCATCTACATCACAGGAGTACAGCTCTTTTCTCCTTTTCTTTCTTTTATTTGATTAAAGTTAAAACGTATTCATCTTCTTTCCTACAATGTTTTGGGTCGCCAGAAGATGGCGCACATACCTAATAATACAACTCAAGAAAGTTGAACATTGTCATAAAGTTTTTAAAAATGTGGCAAATTATTACAGAAAGTGAAGCTTGTACCCTATCAATTCAGAGCATTGAGTGAAATATATCAGTCTTTAATTCTTTAACACCTTTGCATGATGTACAAATGCAACACAGATACGTCTGAGAGACAAACCAACTCACACTCATTCATACCCTTATATTAATTTAAATGAATTGAATAACTAAAAAGCCCAGACAAACCTTTTAGGCTTCAAAGTTAAATAAATCATTAGCTACACATAAGTATGCATGTGTTTGGATTTTGAGGGAAGGCTGAAAACCAACACAGTGGTAATATATTCTCACTGTCAGGTTTGCATGTCAAACACTTTGAAAATCATTTCTTTATTTTTCAGTACGACTCTAATATGTTCGATTTCTTGCACATAATTTTATGGCAACTATGAAAATATTCTGCCTGGTGATCTCTGATTGTCAGCTGGCTGTGCCTGTGTCACATCCAGCAGAGACCTCCACCCATTATCTAACACTTCATGGCTGCCAGCCTGGTTGGCTCGTTAGGATCTGAGAAGAGCTGAAATGCAAAAGACTTTATCTGGAGTTCCACACAGATCTTTTACAAAATTTTCCTTATAATTATGAGTAACTTACAGTTGTGAAGTTTTTAGAAGCTGTCATTATAGGACAGTTTAATGCAGATGTGAAATTTTAAATATTTTTGCTTGTTTTAATAGTGCAATGGATCAGTTTTGTTTAACTCAACATACCGCACTTCGATACGTTTTTATTTAATTTAAATTACATCAAGTTTATTTTCTATAAAAAGATCTGAAAGGTCCATATACATGTTAATACAAGACCTATAGAATATTCTTAGATATGTACTGTCATTTGTGTTGGTCTGTGAAATAAAACTTCAATAAAAATAGGTTAATTGTTGATGGTCATCAGAGATGGAGCCAAGGGACCCAAGGTAAATATGGAGCAGCTGCACAGATACAAAACTCCTTTGTATCTGTGCCTCTTCATGATTATACCATTCTCAATGTTCAGACCTAAATCCAATTCTTCCCTACTTCTTAAATTTGTACCAGTCTGAAATTTTGATTGAAAGCTGCAAAAGATTTTTTCCTTTCTTTGCAAATCAATCCTGGCTTAATACACCAAATCAAAAAAAAAAAAAGCAACATATCGCAATATGTAGCTATAACATCACAATATGTGAAAAATGTCATGGGGTGTGAATACTTTTGAATAGTTTGGATTAAAAAAAATAAGATCAAACTCAACATTTTGGCTTACCTCTGCTATATTTGTCTGTGCCAGTGGGATTGTGATTCTTTTGTTTAACCCCAAACACATTTAGCAAGGGAGCCAAGAGAACTCTACATTGCTAGCTTAAATACATAGATTAAACATAGTCTGTTATTCTATTTGATAAATACTATATCTTTCCCTTGCAAGGCAACACTGAAGCAGCCTGAAGCCTCTCTGGAGAACCCATCATTGCACATTAACAGCTTTGATGTAGAGTTTTCTTACAAATTATCTTTAAAGCCCTCAGATTTATTTTCTGACTGCCTGAGGTGTCCGATTAAATGCTGGCCCGCAGTGCCTTACTATCAGCTGTGACTGAATGTTGTGCACAGCAGAAAATCCATTATGCTGCAAGTTTTTTTTTTTTTCTTGTGCTTTTGCAACTGTCTATGATATAACGCGTAACTGAAAATGACTGTGTGTGGGAAATAAAAAATATCTGCATAAGCAGACTTTACAGCTTTATTGCAGCAGCTCATGTGGATGAGAATCTCCATGGTCACTGACAGGATGCTTTAACAAACATTGAACAAGACAGTGGTTGGCCTTGATAGTGATGCTCCACCAGATTCTTCGTTCTCCCGTCGGATGGTCCAGAACTTTCGTCGGGGGATGAAACGTGGACCTGCATGCAATATGATTCCATCCAGAGATGTTGGCAGATCACTAGAGAGCTGTGTTTCCTAACAGCTTTAAATTTTGAAGACTGGAAGCTGACCAAAGAGATTAATGAATTTAATGATAGCAAGTAAAAGGATTAACCATGAGAATATCTGCTAATCAAAACAGAAATGCCTTTGAAAATGGAAGGAAGCAACTCCTGTGGGAAGATATCCAGCTGAAAGGAAGATTATGAAACTGTTGGATTTTTAAAAAGATGTGCCAGGTTACTTACACTTCATGTAATACTAATATCACTCAATTGTCTGAGGATTCAGTAGAATAACTGTAAAGGCAGTGAGAAAAAAAATCTTCTAATATATTGTCGGTATTGTAGGTTAGTTTCAATTGTATATTTGCACAGCCAGCACAAGAAGTGTTTCATCTTTAGAATGTAATGCTGTGGGAGCAAATGCATGATCAGAAGTCACACATCAGATGATACTTCTGCACAAATATAACCATAAATGATGTATTGTATTGTGGAAGGTAAAGAATGTTTCTCTACTTTATAGCAGATTTTTTTTTACTCCAGATTGTCAAAAAGAAAGTACATGAAACTCATTGTAGAGAAGAACATTAAATTAGTTTAATGAGATGCTTAGTGGCCAACAATATTAAGCCGATGTCCCATTGCTTAAATATAGAAATGTGGCGCTGATTTCAGCAAGGCAAGATTTTGAGAATGTGTTGCACAGTTGAGTGCTTAGGACATCCCTTGAGGCTATAAAAACAGCACAAGTGGGCAAGATATAAAAAGAGTTGGAAAAATATGGCACTTTGGCTCAGTAAAGCTGATGTCTAACTATTCAAGGCTAGCTTTAAAGTAATAGGGAGAGAAAGAGACAATCTTTACATTCATCCATGTTGCAACATTTATATGACAGAAAAAAGATTAAATAACTGAAGTGATTAATTTTTAAGTCAATGTGAATATGACACACTTAGTACAAAGATACAAAAATAAAACAAAAAAAGAGAAACTGATGCAATCAGGCTTCTAATACTTCTGAGTCTCAGTGGGGACAGCTTATTACAAAAGCAATTTGCTTGTGGTTTGTTTGAATTTTATGCAGTGTTGTCAGACAAATCCCTGCAGATTTCGATTGTTGTTCCTGTTTGAATTCAGCAAATGCGTTTCAACTACAATTTAGTCCCTGAACAAAGTAGAATTTCCTGCAGACCTCACCCAGAGGATGCCCCAGCTATTACTGACCACGCATGCAAACATTGAGACATTTCTAACAACAGTCCCATTTATTTTATTCCTCACCTCATCTTCTGTCTTTTCTGTTCCATCTCTCCTCCATTTAGCTAAGTAAAACTAGCTTAATAATAATATTACATATTCTTTAGAAAGAAAAGAACTTATGATTTAGTAAAACTAACATTTTACTTCTCTATATCTTAAATAAAGAAAATGGACAATCTTTACAACTTTTTTCTCTGTAATATTGCTGTTTTTGAAAACTAATGTATATAAAGCCCCTATTTTGCAAACCTACTGAGAAGACAAAAAAAAAACATTCTATTCCACTGGTAAAACGTGAATTTATAATTATATTGAAAAAAAAATCATTAGTTGATTCTTTGTCGGTTTTAGCCAAAGGTTTTAAGAGCCATTGTTGAAGGTCGGCTCCGTAGCACCAGGTTGCAGACCCCTAATCGACCAGAAGGGGCAGTGTTGCAGTTTAGTCCCGACAAAACAAAGAAGAAGGGATTGTTTACAATAATACTTCCCACATTAACTGTTTAGATGAAGATAGTGTTGCACAGCAGGCCGTACAGCGGTGCTGCTCTCATCATGTTGTCCCTCCTGTGGTCGCGAGGTTTCTGCCAGGTTGTCACTGAAGTCAACCGAAGGTCTTACCCGACTGTAGCTTCATTTATCCGGACTTACACCACGAACCCCAGCCCAACCAGCGGAGGAACATACGACGACGGTAATTTCATTTCACTCGACCCTGTCCTTTAAGAGTCACCTATAATCCCATCTGTATAAGGCCTTCATACACAAGTGTGACAGTGACACTGAACACCTTATTAAGGCTGATAATTTATTTCATGTGTCTTTGTCCTTCAAGACACGTTAAAACCGCTCGAACTGGTTCGTCCTTCATTTTAGGAGTCTGAGATTTTTTGGTTAACTTGGAGAAACAATGGTTCAGATAACTCATTGTAATGCAGCTCGGGCTGTTGAGTCAGGAGTTACAGTAAACCTGAATAAGTTTTGACACCGGTAGTATCTGGCTTAAAGTTTCACGGTCGTTCACCCCGTGGTGCGTTCAAGTCCGCTTGTACACTAGACTCTTTTGACAATGACTAAAAAATATACATCATGCAAAATCCACTTGGGCTCCTTGAGATGTTCTACGTCAATTAAATTTTTTCTGTAACAGCTACTGTTTATTTAAATTTCATGACATTTAGGCAGGGCATATAGTTTGCATTTCACCCGCTTTTTGAACTAAAAACAATGTCCCTTCCTCATTCTTTTATGTAATTTCTGGCATGAAATAACATGTTATCCATACTTTTGTGTCAATTTGACCCTTTATTCTTTTGTGTTTACATCTTTAAAAAAATGACACCAAAACCAATACTTTGCATATTTTAGATACAAGAATACCAGATTCAAATGATTGCATGACCTCCTGCAACCATCAAATGCTCCAGAAGCCTGTTAATCACCTGCCTATTCAGCTCTACTGTGTGGCAGGTAGAAGGAAAACACAGTAGATGGTCCTTGAGGACCAGAATTGATTATTTCTTCTTCATGGCAGTGGCCAGTGGGTGAGATATAGTGAGCAGCAAGGGAACGTTTTTAATGCGAGTAAATTAGCCATAATTACTGGTCTGCAGCACGCAGCATTTCCTTTTGCCAGCACCTTCTTTTGAGCAAGGTGTTCTTGAATTCAGAGCGGGCTGGGAGACACTTCATTTATATGGAACTCCATCAAGCACAACAACTACAAGCATGGTTCGTTTCACTGTCTGAATTTTTCTATTTACTCCTTTACCCATTTCTTCATAGAAGCGTCAGTGGTGACCCCCTCACAGCTGAAGGCCATGCAGTCAAACGGTAACGTTCAGCTTTTTGATGTGAGGAATCCGGATGAATACCAGGGTGGCCACATTCCTCAAGCAGTCAACCTCCCATGTAGGTCACAATACATGTGCAGTCTTGTTCCGAGCTGTTCATCTGGAAATTTACATTTCTTTTTCTTTTTTTTTCTTTTTTCCTGTGTGACAAGTGGATATCTTGGAAGAGTCTCTGAAGCTGCCTCCTGAGACCTTTAAGCAGAAGTTTGAAGTGAAGGCTCCTGGAAAAGATGATGATAATATAGTGTTCAACTGCAGAAGCGGCGTTAGAAGCGGCCAGGCCCTGAACATTGCCCGTCAAATGGGATTTCACAGGTAAAAACGGGCAGATTTCTGTTTGCAAGAAACTTCCCAAACTGGTTGTTCACTTGGAGGAAAAGCATGTGTCTTTTTCTCAGAGCAAGACACCTGAAAGGAGGGTATGCTGCATGGGCCGAGCAAGAAGGAAATTGAAATCATGCTAAAATCTACTTCCTGTGAGATTATGTTTTTAAAATATATGAAATCATGAAACAGAATGTCATCATTTTTCACATTGGCAGCTTGCAGTGTTTAGGCTACTGAGAGTTACCTTTACATCCTTCTTATTTTAAAGTTACTGAATTTTATTAAATTATGCATTAAACTTGAGTAAATACAGCAAGTGTTTTTATTCAAAATATAATTTGTGAAATTTGAACAAGTTTCATGTTAATAAATTGTTTTAAGTAAAAAATTTATTTTTATAGACTTTTATTTGAGGGAATCTTACAGAAGTTTATTGTAAACATGTTGTATTTCAGCTGTTGAAAACAGCATAATGGTGCTGAAGGATCTGAGAATAACCTGCAGGGCTTTGCAAAAGTATTCATATGCTTTAAACTGGTTTAAAGTATATGATGTTTGTGATTCTCACATTAGAACCACAAAGGTCACTAAACACTATTTTATGTTGGTCTATCACATTAAAGTTTAAAGTTGCATTTAGATCATTTGTTTAATCCTCTATTTGATAAACACAAGAACTAAGTTATTTAATTTCAGTGGCGTAAGTTGTGGCTTTTTATTAATTGTCAATTTGGGGTGGGAGGAGTGAAAAATAAAAGTGTAGAAGATTCTGCATTTACCTCACTGGGGTTTGTAATGGCAAATTTTATAATGTGCACCTCACTCCTCTTCTGTTTTAGGTTGTCTGCATAGTCTTATCATGAGACTGATCAAGCTGCTTTCAAGAGCTCTGTACTGTGATATAACCGCAGGGGAGATGTCCTTAATCCTGGAAGTCTCCAGGACTAAGGATTCCCGGATTAAGTCTTACTTCCCCAACCTAGAACTTATCTGCCCTCTTTAGCATCAAAGAACAACCTCCTTTCCTTAACAATAGACAAATGGGCAGAACTTCTGTGTTGGGCTCCACAGAATCCCTGGTGTATCACAATCAGGGATTCACACCCATAGTCCAATCAAGTCCCTCTTCTTACAGAATGGAGGAAATCAATGTAAGACAACTTGGTAGTGATAGCCCTTATGCCACTAGTAGCATTTAAGCTAACATTAGCATTTTGGCTAATTTTAGCTTTTGCACTAATTTTATGTCCATGTTACTTAAACATGCTTTTGAGTACATTGTAGTTTACTTTAGCATTAATGCTAATTTTTTAAATTTCTTCAGAAATCTTCTAGTTTTGTCTTACTATGCTGAACTTATGAAGAAGAATATTTTTTAAGTGCAAGTTTGATCTTTTGAGGTCTTTTGTGCCTATTGCAGTGAAAAAAATTCAGGGCTGTCCAAAGTTCAATACCCAAATGATTTGATCGCCACAGCATAATGGAAGTTGACCTTTCAGCCCCCAGTGGCAGTGCATTAGAAATCAATTCGATTTAGATCAGCCACGTGGGATCAGGGGTACCTCAGAACACCACTGTCAATCATCATATTTCAGCACAAAGTCCTGGAAATGTCACCTGAAACTGGATCAAACAAGAACAAATCCATATATTGTCTTAAGTGGAAAGGCATAAGTGCTCTACAGGTGGGCAGAAAGAGTTTATATGTGATCGATGGTCAAATGAGTCAAAATTTCATTGTGGACGGTAGCCATTGTGCCAGTAATGCTAAAAGGACATTAGGACACTTTTAGATTAAGTTCAAAGGCTAACCTGGATGATGACATGGAGGTGTGTTGTACATGAAAGAATTGCAAAGACAGTGTCTTCCTAAAAATTGATGCCCCATGTTTCTCTCTCTTTTTTTTTGAACAACCACAACCATTTGTATGAGCTTTTTTTTAGGACTTTATGTGATTGTGACAGACTATGACAAATAGTGCATGTGAAGCGGAAGGAAACATATTTTTCTAATATCCCTTTTACAAAAGTCTATCCTGAAAAGAGTGATCAGACAGAATTAAATAAAAATGCCAAGTAATTGAAAGTTATTGACAATTATCTCATAAAGTTCATTGGCTCTGTTTTTAGCCTGGCCTCAAAATGACCTACCGGCACGGTTTCAGTAAACTCCTAGGAATTGTGCAGTTACAGGGCAGCTGATGTCTTTCTGTTGTTCTGATTGAATTAGAGGACCAACATGCAGTTTCCCCCTTTTGGGCCTCTGTGTTCAGGCATTCCTTTACGGTTAAAATCCTCTGTTGTCACATAAAGCTGTTTTAACATTTTTTGGGCAGCGTTTTAGTAAGCTGTTATGTTGTCAAAATGCTTTATAAAATAGCATCATAAGAGAAGATTGGCAGGTTTTTAACTGTCATATAACTTAAAATTACATTTATGTTCAGGACAACAATAGGTTGACCCAACTGGCCAAGGGATTTGACTCTCACTATTTTGCCTAAAAACAAAGCCTTGAATAGAGAATTTGAAGTTGACAAAACAAAGATGTTAATGTTTTGATCAAACTCTGCAATTATTAGTCCAACTAGGAGCCTGTGAACTTTTTGCATAACCTTGAAGCAAGTTCAACTATTTCTGAAAGTTTTTGTGACTTTTACAAAAATATGTATGTATATATATATATATATTTATTAAGGTTGTCGTGACATACCATGACGGTACATGATATGAGACAGATGAGTCAAGATCCTTTGCCTTCTCCCACCCAAAATACAATCATCTGCAAAAATGGGCCGCTCCTAGTCAAAAACAACCAATCACAGGCAGGAAAAGTGTCTGACCGCTGTCAACATCCCTAGCAGCCTGTTCAATATGCTAATACGCTGTCTTCAGTGGCTGTGCTAACTAGCCTTAGCTATGGTGGCAGGCTGTGTTGTAATGAACCAAAGAGCAAGTGGGAGGGGGTGAGCAGTGACTGACAGCACTAAGATCCTCCTCCTGACTCTAATTGGTTGCTTCTGACTGACTGGTGTTCTCCAGTTAGCACTGGGAGCACTGGGACAAGACAAAAAAGCTTGAGTTTTTTTCACAGATTATGTATTTTACATTATGCTGTCACAACATAACGATAATTTTATCAAATATGTAGAAAATATATTTTTTAAGATAAAAGTCACATACTGCAGCTTTAATGTTTCCCCTTGTAAAACTTCTAAAATGTTTATTATTGAATCTCAGAAAACCATATGGTAAAACTATATCTTTGTCTGTTTAAAAACTTTTATTCATAATGGTGGTGTTTGACAGATAGAAAATAGTGTTTCAACCAATAGATGGCAGCAAAGTGTAGGGAGATTTACATACACCTTTTTCCCCCTCCAACTCTATTTCTTTTATTATTCTTGCAGTATTGTTCTCTAGGGCCTGACCTTCACACCGTCATTATCCCAGACAGATATAGATCCTGATAGTAATGGCTCTGAGGAGCCAGTAGGGGTCTGATCTTCACAAGGTCTCTCCTCATTCAGGTGGACATACCTTCCTTCGTCCCAGCCCACTCCCGCCTCGTACTTCCATGAAAACAGTAGGAAGGCTGCGAAAGGTCTCTTTTAAGGCAATTAGTTGGGAAGAGAATCAAGTTTTTTTTGCTCCTGTTTTAAATGTTCAACTCATCAAGGGAATAGCAAGTTTAGGACAAGTTGCACACATCCACTAACTCCCACTAAAGGGAGAGACTGGGATCGATCTACTGAATGTTGCATGATGTACCAGGAAGGTAGGATTGATGGAGACAGAGTTTACTGGACACCGGCTTCCAGTGTAAAGTCCAACTTAAGCACTTTAAGATTCAAACACCACCACTTTAAGATTCATATTCCCCTCAGCTACAGCACACATTAGAATTCTTCCCAGCTTGCCACAAAGCATGTGGGAAATTTGTTGTTGAAGAGCAGAAGGATGGGTCATGTTTCCTTTGAGCATCAAGGACATTTGGACACTTTCATATTAGTTAAATCACAAACTCGTGGGCAGCTTGAAGTGAAAAATGATCTGCTGGACGTAGTTGCCAGCTACTGCTGTTACAGTCCATCAACTTCCTGCTGCTCAGTGCTTTTTTTTTTAAGAAAAAAAATGCACTTCACTCTTTCTTTGTAGTGAAATTTAGACCTTGACTTTCTGTTGTTGACTAAAACTGGAATCTTGAAGCTGTTAAAGGGCTGAAAAAGAGCTTGAAAGACTGAAATTGTGCAATAAGAAATTTGGTCATAGAAATTAAAATAATACTTTCTAATAACACTTTTAATCTGGTTTGTTTCAGGTTGTCCTGATGTTTAGCCAGAAACTCCTGAAGTATGGAGATCCAAAAGTGCCACTGTTCAATCAAGACATAAACAATATAAGGTCCATTTTAATGTGCCAGTGATTGGTTAAAATTGGACACAAATATATGCATAATCAATTAGATATACAAAATACATGCAAATATTGTCTTTGTGACAAATTTGCATGTGAGAAGTTTAATATAAATATTGTGTGTTGTGGGGCATTTTAAGGATAATTAATGAAGTCAAATATGAGGTGAGTAATAGTGTTGTGAATCTATCGTAATGATATACTGATGTATAAAACCATCAAAATTATGTGAGATAGGTACTTGAAAACACAAACTTACAAACAAGTTGTTTTAAGATATTGCAAAAAGCTCTAAATGATAACCTAAATGTTAAATAATCTCAGTTCTACAAATAAAAAAAAAGAAATCCAGAAAATCAGTTTGTTTTGTTTGGTTTTTGCTTGTTTTTGGTTTGCTTTAGCATCCAAAGTTCATCAGTGCCCCATAAATATCTCTCTGCTTCTTGCCATTTACTCTACATTCCTGTATTAAGTACTTTTTTAAATCAATTGTAATATTTTGATCTTAAGTGGTGTGCTGTCATTAGCTGTACTTAAAAAAATCATCATTAACAGAGAAAGACTTCAGTGCAATTATTCTACATAATTGAGGTTTGACTTAATGAAATTAGTTACTGAAGTAGATAAACTTTTGAATAATATTTTAATTAACTGACAAGATTATAAGCAGCCACCCTAGCAGTATTACTCCCCATCCTCTACCCCCTGTTTGACAACCCCTTACAAAACCCTTTGGAAACGTCCCTGGTGAAAAAAGGTGTGACAGTCTCAGCATGGTTTTTTTTACCCCCATTCCCAGGCTGACCTGATTTGCGCCCTGTCTGACTGGTCCTCTCATTTGCTTGTTTAATGAGGATATCATCGTTTGAACGCCTCTTCCAGCAAAGTGCGACCC